GACCTTGGATAATTCGCAAAATTGTGTCGCACTGACAATCCCATATCGCTGTCCCGTGTGCTCCGGCCAATGCCACACTTCTGGTCTTTCTATTTCCCCAGTTGTACTAGCTGGCTTCTGTCTCAGCTCCGCGCATGCAGTAGTTGAGTGTTCCGGCCCCGGTGCAAGCTGAAGCGACTAAGTACCTTGGCTTTTTCAATGAGCGACTGCTCAGATAAAAGTCATGTGACGCGGCAGCAATCGGAAAGATGGAGCTTTACCTGGGAACGTGCTTGTGCAACCAAGTGTCTGGTCACGACCGTTCGGTGGACGAATGTCCGCAGGCTTCAATCCGGATGTATCGAGATATAAACGCGAGCTATCAAACATGGTTGGCCTAGTCTCCGAAGAACAACTGCCTTCTCCATCGCTTGCACTTCTTTCAGACGGGGTAGACATTGGGGATGTCAAGACCGAGCCTTCCGCATCAGCTGAACTTTTCGACGTATCCTGCCACAATATCTGACAAGCACTGGTTGCATCACACTTTTTAACGAAATCTTCTGACTGGCATGCAAAATTTCGGTCCTCGGGGGCCATGGAACATGCATCATCCTCCACTGTGGCGTCCTTCCGCTGCGGGTGCGTACTGCCGACTATAGTGATTAAAATTATAAGCCGCAAACAGCCCACAATGCACATACCGCACGCCCATTACAAAGACTCCACATAGTCACATAGTCCTCAGGATTCTGGGCATATTTGGCCAAGATCGACAGAAAACCACTGCTGGATGCCATGGCGCAGCAGACTCACGGAGCCGCGACAATATGAGCTATGCCATGCGGCTATGCTATATATATATATATATATATAGTATGGCACATCCGGACCATCTTTGTAACTTCATACAAGTATAGCATATTATGGCCCATGAATGCGTCTCTGCATGTGTGTTTCCAACTCCGAGCCCGCAGTGCCTGACTTGAATCGACACCAATCTTGGGCCCATGCAGCACACACAGTTCCTCAGAACAACAGATCGGTTCCTGAGAATGCTCACTCAGATCCTGAGGACGATTATGTAGCTCACAGAACCCCCCGAATATACAAGCCGGTCGATTCACCAAAACATGCGCTGATACTGCGGAGAAGCCCTTGAGACCTCGTGGCCTGGCAACGGAAGCGCGATCCTCCTAGGTTCTAGCGACTGTGGCTCTGGGCCCTTCGGAGGACTCGGAGGAAGCAAATCTGCATCCCCCGGTTCGGAAGGTTCGTACTCTTGAAGATCCGGATCATCCTCAGGAGCAAGAGGAGGAGGAGCCGGTTCCTCGGGTGCCTTTCCCTGTGGAAAGCTTCCCTTGGCTCGAATCCTTCTCTTTGCCGGTGCCTTTCCCTGCGGAAAGCTTCCGGATGCTCCTGTGTTCTTCGAGCTGTCTTCAGGCTTACCTGCGCTAACCATGTCCCCTGGAGATCCTACCTTTCCACGGGTTGGATCCTTGGACTTAGCTGGCACCGAGGTTCTACTCTCGATGCCACCAGGCAGAATCTTGAAAATGGTCTTGCCTTTCCAAGAGTCAGTAGTTCTTGTTGAAGAAAGCTCAGAAGAACGCCAGTCATCTTCTTGAGTAACGCTCTTTCCCTTGGAGAACTCCATGATCGTCTTGCGCTTGGTGTCCAGATACTCCAACGGAATTGGCACATAACCCGCCTTGGGTTCGTACTTGACTCTTCTCATCTTCTTGTGGATGCGAATCATTTCCATGTCGGCTTCGTTGATCACCCATTCATCATCAGTCGCCAACACGAGATTGTCGGGTACCTGTTCATGAGAACAGCATCCCTCGGTCTTCTGATGGAAGCCGTACTCGTAGTGGGAGAAGTAGGTGAGGAAGCTCGACTTCTTATGCTTGCTGAAACGCACATTCCACATCAGCTGACTGAGTTCAAGAAGATCAAGTACCAGGTGTGAGCTGGGTGCAACCTTCAGCCTCACATCCTTGATTCCCAGCACAGGGCTGCTGAGCAAGGCCTTTTCCGGATGGAGCTCGAACTGGAAACGAAGATTGCGCATCTGAGGTAAGGACATGAGAATGGGAACATGCCCTTGTTCCACAATGTCGAACTCTGTGGATTGAACTGCAAAGTCCCGGTCGTACATGCAAATGACCAACTTCTGGTTGCATTTGGTAGACTCGGAATTGGCAAAGGTAAACTGAGAAGTGGTCTCAGCAATGGTGTACCATATGCCACAGTTCTGGTTCTTGTCACAGAACTCCATGAGGTCCTGTGCGGCCACTCTCGAAGCCATTGCTCTCGTGCATCCCAAGTCCAACACCATCGCGGTCGGCGTCAAGGGCTGAGAGATGAAGGCTTCCTCGATCTCATTGATCTTCTCTTCGGTGGCCATGAAAGAAAAGTTCGGAGTGTTGAGATGTTCAACGAAGAAGGTTGTGGCGGCTGTGGTGCCGCTCGGGGCAGCATCAGCAAGCTGGCTCTGTCCGTCCTTTCCGGACTTTCCATCTTTTCCATCCTTGTCAAACTTGCTCTTTCCTTTGCCCTTCTTTCCTTTCTTTCCTTTTCCTTTGGCTGCATAGGATTCCTCAGACTCGTACCAGGACCAGTCATCCCAGGACTGATCGCTCCACTGGTAATCTTGCCATTGTCCTTCTGCTTGCCATGCTTCTGATTCTTCGGCAAGATGTGACTTGCCTTTCTTCCTTTTGAAGAAGCGCCTTCCTTTGGATCCTTTGCCACCTTTGCCTTTGCCTTTACGGTGGCCCTTGAATCCGCGCCTCATCTTGCGGCCTTGAAAACGCCGCTGGAACCATGAGTAGTTCTCGTCGTCGTAGACCCAGAAGGCGTCCTCATCCGCTTCGAGAAAACCTTCTGTGCCATCTTCCTCGTCCTCGACCCAGTAGCCTTCATGATCGTTCAAATATCCTTCATCGATCACAAGGAACGTCTTGCGGCCACCGTGGCCGGAAGGAGCGAGGAGAGGATTGTCGACGGTAGTCTTGGTCGTGCAGAAGATCTCAAGGTAGACCTCACGCAGTTCGGTCGTATTGTAGTCAGCTAAAACTCGATTCCGATGCGCCATCAATGATGTCAAAACCTGCCGCTGATCCTGCGTCAAGTCGGACAGAGAGACAAAAATCAAAGCAACGAGATTGGCCGTGATTGGAATGGTCCGAGCATGCTGCTCTCTGAGCCGTTCGTTGGTTCTCTCCATTGCCTGAACTGGCGTGATTCCTTCTTGTTCTTCTGGTGGAAGTCCTGCCACGAAAGCTCTGACCTCTGCGTTGTTCGGGTCCTCGATCGGCAGATAGGTGTCGTTCCACGCTTCTTGCATTCTCTGAACAGAGAGTTGAAACCTGGTAATCCAACGAAGCATGTCTCCATTCCCACGGTGCATGTTCATGAACTGCTGGAAGCGATAGAGGAAAACATTCGCTGCTCCCTTCACGAAAAGAGGCCGCAGGAAACTTTTGAAGTACTTCACTCCGTTGTTCGGGTCCTTCAGGCGATCTCTGTCGAGAAGCCTCTTGTGGATTGCTGCTTCACCTTCTAGCCGATTTCTCAAAGCTGGTCCACGCTTATCATTGTCTAGCTCAGTAATGTCACACCAGTCATCGATCGCATCTTCATAGGCAAACCAACTGCTTCTACCATCATAAGATGGAGGTACTTTGGTGGTCACCTGCTGGAAAGCTGAAAGACGGTGTAGTTCATTGAGATGACGATGATTAGTCGCGAAGGATTCATTTCCGTGGAGGAGGTAGTCTTCATCTCCTCCTTCATGCTCAAAGATAGTCGCAGAGTGGCTAGCCATTGCGCTGTTCTTGGATCGAGCCCCGGGAGAAACCTCTTCCGGTTATCTTCACCTGAGTGAAGTGTGCCGGAGAGACTCCGGTCACCTTCACCTGAGTGAAGCACACCGGGTATTCCGGTTGCCTCCACCTGTGTAGAGAGTACCGAACGGGTACCTCCACAAGTGTGAAGCTTCCCGTTTCCCGGGAGCTCCGCTACCACGTTGAGATGTAACCTGGACGTGTATCCCCTCGCTAGGCGTACAGGAACACAGGCACTCAGGTGTCTCTTTTCTACAGGCGCACAGCTGTAGTCCACTGCACTAGAACCTTGAGCAACAGGCATGGATACATGCAAGTGATACGTGAAACAGACAGGACCTGGATGTGTAACATTCAGTGTTTCACCCCCTCCCCTCCCCTCCCCCCCCCCTCCCTCTCTGTTCTCCCCCTCCGGCCCGTCCTCCCCCGCTCGTTTTCCTTTTTTGGTTCCCCACCCTTCCTTGTCCTGCCCTCGCGTGTTTTTTCGATTGCCTGCTCGTTTTCTTTCACCTTTTCTTCTCTTTCGGCCTGCCCCCGGCTCCACTGTCTTTTCTTCTTATGTTTCGTTTGCGTGCTTCTTTCTTTGAAGCTCTCGTTTTGCTGTTTTGTTGCCCCTCGCCCCCCCCCCAGCCCTCCTCCCTCCCCGCCCCCCCGGCCCCTTTTCCCACCCTTCCGTCTTGTCTGCACTTCTTTTGGCTTGTTTTCCTTCCTTCCCCCCCTCCCCCTCTTGCTGGCCCCCCCTTCCTCCTCCGGCCGGCCAGTCCACCCTTCCGTGTTGTCCTGCCCTCGCGTGTTTTTTCGACCTTTTCTCCTCTTTCGGCCTGCCCCCCACCGAGCCGGCTCTATGCCTTTTCTTCTTATGTTTCGTTTGCGTGCTTTGGCTCTCCTGCTTCCTCCTTGAAGCTTCGTCGTCTTGCTGTTTTGTTGCCCCTCGCCCCCGCCCCCGCTCAGCCCCTGGGTTTTGCTCTACACTTGCCACACTTATCCAAGTAGCCCTGACCCTGCAACTAAATTACACCTGCCTTGAGAGGCCCTTCGCAGTTTGGCCCCTGCTCTGCGCCCCTGCTGGCCCTACTGCAGCCGGCGGCCGAGGCGGGCTGCGTAGCATTAGAATTACTGTGTTGTGAACGATGATTCGCAACGCATCCGAAGCATTTGCAGCTTCGCATCTTCCGCTGACGGATCTCACCCATCGGGCACAGGTGGCAGTGGCGGCACTCTGCGCCATTCTGGCCTCAGATGCGCAGTTTGATTTTTTTTTCGGGAAGGTGCTGATCTGTGCTTTTCTCTTCCCTGAAACTGTCGGCCGTCGGCCCCATTTGTGAGAAAACCTGCTCTCTGCCTATCCCTTTCTTGCAGCTTTGTGGCAGCCCTTCGGCTTCCAGAACCATGCGCAAGGCTTACCTCCGCAAGCATCGTGCACCACTCGCACTTGTGGCACGATGTCATTGCATTGGCACGGCATTCGAGGGTGTGTCGAACCCGAAACATAGTGCGGGCTAGTGCACACTCTCCAGTGCCATGAAGAGCTGATCCCACCGACGGTGCCGGTTTGCGATCGGGGACCTCCGAAACATGCAGGCCTACCTCTCTCAGGATCTCATGGCAAATCAACATAGCAGGCTGGGCACCCATAGTTTGGGGGTTCTAGTTTCGGATCGGCTGCCGGGGGGCTTCGGATCTAAGTGGATAGTTTCGCGCCCAGTTTCGGAACCGCGGGAGTCAGGTTCGGAAAGCGGGTGTATCAGTTTCGGAGGTCGAGGTGGGCAATTTCTGTCCGGTTCTTGCAGGTCTGGGGCTAAAACTGACCATGGCGTGACACCGAAACTGACCATGTCCTGATCAGAAACTGTCCCGGACCCTGTTCCGAAACTCCGCCCCGAAACTCAGCACCGAAAATACGAAAACTCTGAAACTCACAACTTCCGTGGCAAGCCGTTCTCGCGTACAGAAGAGAATCTATGAAAATCTCCACCGTGATCCGAGCAGGTCATGCTGAGGTCTGGGGGCTGACTCCAATCCCACGACACTCTCTGCGAACCTCGGCTTCGGAATCCTCCTGCCAGGGCGACGGCACACAAAGGGAGTTCCCAAAAATCTGGCATGGACAAGATCAGATCGTCGTAAACGAGCACAACTGGAAACGAGGACGCAGCCAAGGGGATGCTACACAATGTGGCGCCTTTGGCTGAGGCAGAATGGAAAGGGCACCCTATAGGCCGTACCGGCTGCCCTGCACACAAATCTGACATCATGCTCCACCTGACCCCTACCGGTCCTACCAATCTGTCAAGTATCAAAATCGACTCGAGGCGCGAGGCCTCGACCTCGTACACCCTTGCGCGCAGATGCGTGCAGCAGAGCCTAACGACCGGCCTTTCCCAACTTCGGCGACGAGGCACTGAAGGGAGAAGGGGAGGTCGGACTAGCGCCACCTCAGGAACGGAGGCTTTGGGAAATGCTGCTTCCAGCGACCCCTGCTTCACCGTTTGGACTCCATGCAGCAAAGAAGTCGTCTAACCGTTTAGCATCTCTCGATGACTGCTGCCGATTCGCAGGCTCGAATTGCAAATCAGATCACAGATTACAGCCATTCAGCCCTCAAGCTTGAAATTCTGCCATCATGAAGCCCAACCAGTAAGCATCTCACTCAGTGAGACTTTCCGCGTTCGTCGTGGTTCAATTGCCAAAAGTACGGAATTCGCAGTACAAGAGCCACAACAATGACGATTGCAACTTTCACAGGGACATTAGTTCCATCCTGAAAGGCTGTCCGGTGAGCGCAGAGCATCCTTCGATAAGTATGGTATGCATCTCATCGAGCAGAAGCCCACCTCGCATGGCAGCCAACTTGGCCTTTTTCCTGCGGGCGGTTCTGTGTAGCACCGGGGGAGTACTGAGTTCTAGAGGCAAGCGCACCGAGTGTTTTCGTACCGAGATGTCAGAACACATCAGAGCTGAAAGGCATCTAAGTCTCACAGCAAGCCCGCTTGCGAGAAGAGCATGCAGAGCAACATCAAGAGACTCGCAGCGCCAGCCACGCTAGCAGGGATTTGGACGTGAAAAACAAACCATGTAGATGGATCCCGTCCTGAGCTTCACTTCACCTTCTGGACAAAGATGGCAGTATCCGCCTGAGGCCCCAGGCCCCACATTGCCAAAACCGGACGCTCGGATGCAGAGGGCCCTTGAGGTCGCCACATTCTTTTCCACGCAAGCAGCCTTGGGGCTTCCAGTACCAGGCGCAGGGGTTGCACCTCACACAGAAACTTGCAAAGGATCGAGTCACCGAGGCCCCATGAAGCCCCAAGGGCCCGCGCTCTCCCCCGCCATGGTGCCTTGATCCAGGCGTCTCTGCGCCTTCAGAGCCAGGGACTCTGCAGCGGTCAAAGACCCAAAGCTTCGTCCCGGCCTGTGGGAGAGGCAAGGCCCGGGGGCTCGGAGACCTCCTGGCGAGAGTGCAAAGCGCCCCAAGCGGCCCAGTCTCTCCAAGGCCGTCCAAAGACAGCTTCCCGGCCCGCCCGGCCCCGGCCTTGTCGTTCTCCGAACTTTGGGCTCCAGCTTCCTGGAGAGCTTTCCGGGCTACGGGGGTGGAATATGGAATCGCTTTGAGGCTGCGGCGAATCTTAAGTGTCGAGAGGCCAAAGGCAGCTTTGGTCCAGCCCTCAGATGCAGGCTCTTCTCTCAACGTACTGCTCTGCAACACAGCCCTGCTCTTGAAACCGATCTCCATTCCAAACCATTCTGAACTTCGGACCCCTACTATAGGGGCTGCGGAAAAGGTGGCTTCGATGATATTGTGAAGCTTTAACCTGGGTTGCATGCGCCTTCCTGTAAATAATAACAGACGGAACCTGTGCAGCTACTGCTTCAACCGCTTCGTCTGTGTAACAAGGAGGCTGCAACTACCAAGTATCGTCAGCCAGTCCTAGTTCATACTGCGAGTAGTTCGCAGGCACGCGAGGGCCCGGCTCAGACGGCTCGGCTTGATCGGCAGGTGAAGAGCTTTGCTTGTCCTTGCCAACTCAGCTTGTGCGGCCTCTACTCCAAGGAGAGACTTGTCGAATTTTCGATCTGACCGGGCGAACTCAGCAGCCAGAAACTGTGACAGTCGCCAGCTGACCGACACACGCGGTGCAGTGTCCTCACTGTCGAACGAACTGAACATCCGCCTGACAGAGAGGCTCGCACTGTAACTGACCCTTGTTCAGGTCGAAACCATCTCCAGGCCTTGCCAGGCCCAACATCTCCTGTGCTCAGGGTCGGTAAATACGTGTTCGGACTTTGGGCAACTACAATCCATTATTCTGCACCATGCTAAACCGCGGCAACAGACTCAACGCTGAACGTGAATCCAGCGGTGCGCATGCATATAGAGATCCTGGCCACTGTCATCTTGTGACGACGCAATCGCCGCATTTAAGACGTGTGGCATCCCATTGAAAACACCATCTGAAGCAACGCAAGGTCCCTTGTTGGCAAACCGCAGCGCCAATGTCCACAAACCTTCACTCCCAAGACTGGAAAATGGCAAAGCTCCTGGCCTATATCTGCTCTGACTCTGCCAGTGGAGGAGCGCGGATTCACTGTCGCTGCTCCAATCCACTGGGTCAGGTGTTTTCGCTTGAGCCGGCGAAAGCTGAGGGGAGTCTCAACTGACGAACATAGGACTAAGAGAGCGCCCCTCCGAGAGTTCGGCTGACTTGCAAGGGAACAGATCGCGATGCTGGGGGTGTTCAAAAGCAGCGCTGGGCGCTGAGCCGCGTACTTTAGGCACTTTAGGTCCCCATCTCCAACAGCTGCCTACATGCGCTCCCGCAAATAAAGCTTCTTTTCGGATACCGTGTCACAAGGTGAGGATTTCGTTACGGAAGTGTCAATGCTTGGCCACCTCGCTTATCGCGTTTGCCAAGGGGTAGAAGCAAACAACCCAATCAGCATGCCATGTCCACTGCGTGCATACTATAGATCTCTCGGTCAACATGCCACACAAGACTTGCATTCCGCCGACTGAAAACACCAGGCCAGGCACTCTGTGCAGGATCGGCGGCCCATGCAAGCACGCTGCAGGGCTGATAATTTTATGTGTTGGCTTGAACTTCATGATGTGGCATCAATGCGAGCACTTGGGTAGGCTAGCAAGCAGCGACTTCGTAGGCTACAGTGAAGCTCGCTAGGGAACCCAGCTTCGACTGCATTGACCAACGATTGGCTCCAGCTGCGGCGGCACACGAGCAAATCGAAATACGCTGCAGCAAAGTCTCAGGGATCGGACATGAAGCATGACAAGCCCCCTCGAGGACTCGAAGCCTAGGTGCCTTTTATCCGCACATCAGGCCGTGGAGGCCTCGCGAGGCTCTGTACAGCTGGCCTCATGGTAGGTTTTTGATGCACCGAGCCCTTGTGGATCCAGGATCTTACTGCTGTGGCCCATAACATTCTGGAATTCTTTCGGAGCTTGGAGGGCTCAAGTTTGCAAATCGGAATCATGCAACGAGAAGCCGGTTGCCGTGCTGGCACCGCAGCTGAACGAACAGAATCGAGGAAGATAACAGCTGGCTCAGACAAAAATAGCAAGTTCGATCAAGATCCACCTGATTCACGGCCCCCCCCCCATGCTGGAATGCTGAAGGCCAAGGTGCGATTGCGGCAACCCGGCAAGAATCAAAACTCTGTGACACTCGAGGGCTCCCCAACTTGGAGTGCCCTCCTAAGCCGAGAGCATGCTCGCCAAGTGCATTAACTGGAAAGAAGGAAGGCTCACTTGCCTTTGTACTCTTCGATGGTCTTCCGAATTTCCTGGAAGAAGAGCTCCCCTCCACTCCCCTCACTTGAATACCGAATACGAAAAAAGCGTGCTCGACAGGCTCTGTAGGCACACCGGGGCTCGGACTGCCAAAACCAGGGGCTGCAGCCCTTGGCCGGCGGGCTTCACGAAAGCATCCAGGACCTGCAAGGCTGATCGCATGGAGGAGCTGAGTGAGCCCCGGCCTCTCCATCTCAAAACCGGGCAGAGGCTTTGGCCGTGGCTTTGTGCTTCAGGCGTGCACTCAGGCTTATGACTTCGCGGAAGAAGTGCAGTCAAACTGTGGGAACCTCCCGAATGGCTGGCGGCACATCTGCTGCAGGCTCGTTCCTCACCTCGCCAGCCATACAACTCATGCCATGAGCGCAAACAGCTCCTCATAGCCAAGCTGAAGCTCGTTGCTCTACCCAGTGCCCCGATTTGTCGCAAGTTGCGCTGAACAATTGATTGACTTGGGAAGCGAGAGGTCCTCGGGATCATCGCCATCGCTCGTGACCTTTCCGGCAAAACTTTGGAGAGCTCAAAGGCTCTATCCTCTGACTAGAACTAAGCCAGACTTCAGCAACTCCAGTCTCACACCACAACTCGGAGCATTCGACTGCGTAAGATTCCTTCATTGTCTAACTTTGTTTGTTGTTCGACCTTTGGTCGAGAATGTCCCAAACTATCTCCGAAAAACCGTGCGGGTTGGAACAACATGCGGACTGGGCCGGTCGCCTCGGTAAAGGCCAGCTTGCCTTTACCGGAGGAGTCCCCAACCTGCCATCACACAAAGAGCTCCAGATGTATGCTGTTTCCTGTGCAAGGCTTTGGGCTGATGTAATAAACGTCAGACACCATGTCGACAGCTGGCTTTAAGGCACCTCGCAAATGGTAAACACTGACAAGATCGTGAACAGAGGTATTGCCAAGCTCCGGAAACCCCCTCCCTGGTCGCTGAACTGGGAAAGCTCAATGCATCCGATGTTTCGCTCTTCGCCCAACCTTAGCTTCGTACTCCACATTGAACGAGACGTCCATGAGGTGCCTCCAAAGGTTCCGGACTGGCCAGAAGGTGAAGTGTTGCATAGCGCTCGCTGGGAGCTGGGCTTGTTTCAAGACTTGCATGTCGACTGTACAAACAAGTCACTCGAGCAAACCCTGTCGGCGAGCAGATGGCGAGGTACGAGAAGCCAAACGTACTTGATACCGCTGACTTGGAGTGACGTCGTTGCTGCCAGTGGTCCTATGGTTAGTTGTCCAAAGCTCCTCCAATTGAAATTCGCGCCTGTCTGTGCATCTGCCCGCTCAGTGTATCTCTTCACATGCTTTCTCTTGATGGAATCTTGCACAGCGGCGACCTGTATCGTAAAACCAGAACTTGTATCAATTGGACTGTTGGGACGCTCATATTGCCTACTTTAAACGCACGCTTCTGTTCTCCAAGCTTGGCGCTCCCTGCGCTGCCGAAAACCCTGGCTTTTACCGACCGCGATAGCGGCAACAAGGATTGGCCTCGAACCTCTTCCCTCGTGCTACGGCTTATCGCAAATTAAGAAACGAAGGCGGGTTCACACATCCGCCAGCTCTGGCCAAACCAGGCAACACTGCAAACCTCGACTGTCATTCATTGCGGGCATAGGCTGGTGGCCCCAACTAGCAATTGTACTCCAGTCCGGTGTGCAGCCTCCGCTTCCCCCTGGAGACGGAGATGGAGCAGTCGCCTTTCAGATCCGCCTTGGCTCTGCAGAGCACAGCGGTTGTCGATGAGGAATGTACGTGCGGGTGCCCACGTACAATGTCGGCAGTTCCCCGGCTCACAGCACGAGAAAAAAAAGTCTGCCTTCCTCACCCACACAAGCAGATGCTGTCGCTTTCTGCGATGCACAAGTTTCATGTTTGTGACCATCTGAGCCTCACATTCGAGAGTGCCGGCACCAATACCGGTTCTACAGAACGCATTTCAAGTTTGGTCTTGCTAGAGTCGGACTCAGGAGGAAGCTCCTGCTATGTGGCAGGACAGGAAAGATCCATGCTTAGAAAGTCCAAGACCGCTGCCACGGACATGGTGGAAATGTGACCTGCCAGGTAAAAAGAGCAGCAGAACAAAGGGGCAGCTTCTCGTGCTTGCCACCTCATGAAAGCACGTGGACTCAGCACTTAAATGCTTTCGGTGCCCTCAGCACCAATAAGACATGTGTAGGCTCCACCAAGCTATCAATGCATAGAACACACACACGAAGGCACAACAGCATTCTCCTACCTCTACTACCGCTCCTACCACTACTGCCACGAGCTGCTCCTGCTCCTGCGGCTCTGCTCCTGCTGCTCCTGCTGCTCCTGCTGCTCCTGCTGCTCCTGCTGCTCCTGCTGCTCCTGCTGCTCCTGCTGCTCCTGCTGCTCCTGCTGCTCCTGCTGCTCCTGCTGCTCCTGCTGCTCCTGCTCCTGCTGCTGCTGCGGCTCCTGCTGCTCCTGCTGCTCCTACTACTCCTACTACTACACTCCTACTGCTCCTACTGCTCCTACTTCTCCTTCTGCTCCTACCCCTACTACTCCTACTACGCCTACCACCTACTCCTACTAATCCTCCGGCTCCTACTCCTACTCCTACTCCTACTCCTACTCCTACTACTACTACTACTGCTACTACTACTACTACTGCCACTGCCACTGCCACTGCCACTGCCACTACCACTACCACTACCACTACGACTACTACTACTGCTACTACTACTACTACTACTACTGCCACTGCCACTGCCACTGCCACTGCCACTACCACTACCACTACCACTACGACTACTACTACTGCTACTACTACTACGACTACTACTCCTACTCCTACTCCTACTCCTCCTCCTACTACTACTACTACGACTACTACCACTACCACTACGACTACTACGACTACGACTACTACTACTACTACTACTACTACTACTACTACTACTACTACTACTACTACTACTACTACTACTACTCCGACTCCGACTCCGACTCCTACTCCTACTCCTACTCCTCCTCCTCCTCCTCCTCCTCCTCCTCCTCCTCCTCCTGCTACTACTACTACTACTACTTCTGCTGCTACTACTGCTACTACAACTACGACGACGATGTCTAGAACAAGTATTAATAACAATAATAATACTACGAGTACTACGACTAACACACGCGACGACAACGACAAAGACAACGGCAATAACAACGACCGCGGCAACGACACCAACAACAATAACAATCATCGCCGCCACTGCCACCACCACCACCACCACCACAACAACAACCAAGAGGACCGCATGAGGATAAATTGCCAAAGCTAACTGCCAGGGGTCACAAATGACAATACGACAATACCTCTAAGCAGCACAACGTAGCTTTCCCTTTCTCAAACACAACACCCCGCACCGTCGCTCTTCGGCAGATTGAAGCGCAGACCGACGAGTCCGGTCTTCAGACCTCATG